ACTAAAAACAGCCTTCAAATTATAATTTTCCATATATAATGGTATATTGAATACCTTGATAGTACGACTTTCACGAGTTTGAAAAAGTTGTTTTCATTTTTCTTGTAAATTTTCTACTTTCTTAAAAGAGTAAACGACATTATTTTCTTCTCCATCGGTTGCACTAGGCATTTTAAAAGTCATATTACATAAGCTATTTAAATCAACTTCGGTATTAACTTTAATACTAATCACGTAACAGTATTTTTGTTCTTGATTGGTATCATCAGTCAATCTAATCGGTTTTTTTTCTTCAAAAGTGGTAACGATGTCAATTTTTGATTTGATAATTTTAACAATATAATGACAAAATTGTGTACTTTTAGGCGCCTCCGGAATCGTACAAGTAGCTTTCCATGTGTTATGTTTAGACAAGACGATTGGTGAAAATTCGGCGTCAGCCATTTCTATTTCAGGCAATTGATTATCGGCAGATGGATCATCAAAATGTGAGTCATCATGCGTCGATTGATCATCTTGATCTTGTGTGTTGATCTTTTGTAGTACATCTGAATGATCTTCATTAGCTTTTCCTTTGTTCGCAGTTGGTGTTGCAGAGGTTGATTGTGTTACAATAGGATCGACATTTTTCGGGGTCTCACCAGTTTTGGTTTCTTTTTTTGCTGCGTATTTTGTGGATTATAAGCAACGAAAGGGTCGAGTTCCTGTCGTTTGAAAGCTGCTTGTTGTTTTCTATTATATGGTAATCTTGCAGTAGCAGCTGCCTGGTGTTGTTGTTTCTTTTTCTTCTTGTTTTCTTGACGTAAGGTAGCTCTAGACTTAACTGTAGTAAACTCCTCATCGTTAGGAGTGAAAGTAAAATTATTCAAAGTATTTTGCGCAGTAGAAGTTGTACCAACAACTCCTTCCATAGTTTCTCCCTGCTCCTGGTTGTCTATACCCTTCTGGGCAGCACTACGAGTAGTCCTAGTTGGGGTGGACATACCGTTATGGTTTACGAAATAGGATTATTAGAAAAAACGAAAATAAATTTTCTAAGTTATATCTTTGTAATAATACAAAAAAGTAGGAACCACATTGTCATTGACATTTACATAAAGTTATATAAGATTAATCTGAGAGTTTTTTACCAAAAAGGAAATTTTTTTATAAAAAGGGAAATGATTTTCAATTTCGAGGCAATTCAGCAGGTGTTTTAATAACAAATTGAGAAATGATTTCCATAGAAAATCTCGTGACAAAATTTATAATAAATTTAAAATAAATGATCAACAAATGATCAACAAAATCGTTACTAGTTTTATAAAAAACGCCCAATAATATCTTTTTATTGTTTTAATTTATTCAGTTATATCAAATAAAATAATTATACAATATATATATGTTTCGTTAATGTTTGTTGTTAAAATAACATATCGTCGGTTAGATTTAACTAATAAAATTTGTTATATCCAGTTAAAAAATATAAATAAATGTTTTACGTAATATTTTGTCTCTTACTATAAAGTTGAATTACTAATAGTTTATGAAATATCATATACCATACAAATTTTTTTGTATATGTTCCCCAGCGTAGATAGTAATTTCCAACGGTTATCTTTCTATAAAAAATTCCTGAAATGAAAGATTTTCTTTTATAGATAAAATGGTTCAGTTTTAAAAAATTTTCAAAGTATATTGAATAAAACAAAATGATAATAATAAGAAAATTAAATAATTATAAGATGCTAAGGATATCATTTAAATCAAGTAAATTTTCCATTTCTTTTCTTGAAAAATACTTGTCTTTGAAAGTTTCTGGAACATTTGGTAAAAATCGGTAATAATCTGGTAACAAATAACCCATCAAACTCATGTTGGGAATGTGAGTTATTCTTCTAGATATATCTGCAAATCGAACATAATCTATTTGCTATGTATATAAAAGAATAGTATTATATTTTGTTCTGAGAGGAAATTAATTTGAATAAGTAAATAGGAACATACCATTTCAATAGAATTTATTTCAATTGAAAGTTGAAATCCATTCATGTTAAAATTTAAATGCTGATATTCTATCCAACCTAATCCCTCAAATTTTGACACATCTTTACGTTTTAACATACGCTCATATTGATCATTTTTCTATAATTGAGTTAATATTAATTAAAATTAGTAAATATAATGATAGAGATTTTAAGTAATTAACTTACATTATCATTATATATAAATTTTATAAAGCAATTTTTAGATAATATTTTTTTAACATTTATTTTATAAATAAGAAGATAAACAGAATTATTATATATTATAGGCAAATCTAAACGAAGTTTTTTATTTTTAGAGCACAATACCAGCCCTGATAAACTTTAATTTTAAAATTATGGTTAATTTGGTTAATTGGTATATGACAACTTGACTTAAATTACTATTATTAATAAACTTTACCTGTTTATATCACTTTCTTGGAATTGACAAAGTTCACTATTTAAATTTGTAAGATTTGAAATAAAATATACTTCTTTTTCTAATGTGTTAGATGTATTAAATTATTATAACTGACTTAAATAGAAAATAATAGATAAATTAAATATTTCTTACCTTTATACATGTATTTACTAAACTCGTCAGTAATTCCAAGTTTGGTAAAATCACATTTGTCAATTTCACAATCTTTATATAAATATGACCAAAAACCCGAATGCTTTTGTAATAATAAATGAATATATGAAAAAGCTTTATAGTAATATGCGTTGTCTCTACCACTTATTTTAAATAACATATCCAAATCTACTTTAGTTTTATAATACTTGTTTAGTTCAATATGTATTTTACATCTAATTAAAAGTAATAATTCATTCTCACTAATATTAGGAATTTGATTGATTTTTGTTAATATATTATTTAAATCTTTAGAACTATTTTTATTTAGTAAATATTCTAGATGAAATGATTGGAATTTTGTTAAACTATTACTATCAGAACTCAGTAATTTTAATAATTCTGTATACTTTTCAAATAATATTGTGACATTATTGATGTCATTTTTTGTATAGTATGTTAGACTTTTAAGATAATATGCTGAACTATTTAATGGATCTAATTGTATAATTTTATCAAGATCTAATAAAACTTTATCATATTCCTGAATAATATAGTATGCAATAGCTCTCTTATTCAAATTATGAATATTTTCTGGATCTATAATATTTGCTTTTGTAAAGTATATTATAGCTTTACTATATTGTTTCATATTATATAAAATTTCTCCATAATAACATAAAATCAAAGAATCCTTCTTGTTAATTTTTAACAATTTTTCTAATATCATTAAAGTATTTAAATATAATCCTTTTTTTTCATAACTGTATGCACAATTTTTAAGGCATAAATAATTATTTGAATCATTTTTTAATGAAATATTATAATTTTCTGCAGCTTCTGTGTAATCATTGACATACCTAATACGCAATAGGTAACTGTTTCCAAGTATTGTATATAAATTAGTTAATTTTGCTTTTTATTCTAATGATTTTTTTAAATTATCTATAGCTTCATTATATTTATTTTGTCTAAAATATATTTCTCCATAAATAAAATAAGCAACTGGTTTTTTGTGATTTAAATTAATAGCTTCTTCTAAGTATAAGTGTGCTTGTTCATAATTGTTGAGACATCTATAAATATAAGCTAAAATACATCTTAAAGAATAACTTTTAGGAAAAAAATTTAAAAATTCTTTACATAATGATTCAGCTTTTTCATAATGTTTTTCATTTATTTCTTTTATAATATTTTGATATGTTGGATGTTGTTTTTTTGTAATTCTTGAAAGTAATGATGATGATATATTTGAATTTAATTTAATAATTGAATTCGTAAATTTCTTTTTTTTAGTTAATATAAGTTCAACTTCTGAATTATCTGAATCATCACTGTCATATAGTTGATCGGAATTTTTTAATTCAATTGAAGGTAAAATATGTCCAGATTCAAAAAATTTTGTATATAAATTCTTATAAATTGAATTTTGTGGTAAATATCTAATATCATTATCTTCAATTTTTTCCCGACAATTAGGACATATTTTTTGTTTTAATTTTTTTAAATTGCTTAATGCTAATATATGTTGGCATTTTAAAATACATAATTGATCAGTTGGTTCACTATTAATTGGACAAGTTATTTCTTCTGCTATAACATCTAAAATGTTAGAATTTGATGTTTGTTTTTTCTTTAAATAAGAATTTTGATTTAAACTTTTTCCTTTTCCCTCTTTTCCTTTTCCAATATTATTACTTAAAATTTTTAAATCTTCATTATATTTCTCTTTGACAAAAGTTAATAAATTTCGAAATTTTTCTAAAGAATCTTCCAAATTATTTTTATTTAATTTTTGTGTGTATTGATCAAAATCAATTTCAATCATTGAAAACATTTTTTTATCAATATTATATAAATGTAATAATAATTCAATAGATTTAAACTGAATAAAACTACTTGGTGCTTTATTAAGTGATTCAATTGCTAAATAATAACAAAGACCATATGTTGCTATTTGAGATGATCTTTGGATAAGATTTTGTGCAAGATCTAATATTCCAAACCACAAAGTATGTGGTAATGCAATAGGTTCGTTTCTAGTAAGATCATTTAAAAAGCCTCCAGCATTTTTCAAAGCCTTACCGACTTTATTTGATGCTTCATCAAATTTTGTTTGAGAATCTAAAATAGATTTGTCTGCAGCATTAACCCATTCTCTTTCCAAAAAGCTCCAGATATATTCCATAAGTACTAATTCACTAAATTTTTTACTAATAATCTTTTCAGAACTTTCAGACCAAACGAAAAGATTATTTTGAATTATTAGCATAATTCTCCAATCTACATAATAAGATGCTACTGGATATTTAAAACTTAAACTTTGACGTACTTGGGTAAGCAGTGATAAGATTGAACAATTATCATTTGGAAGAGCGACTCCTGCCGCTGATAAAATTCCTGGTGTAATATTCAATGCAGCTTTAAGAAAATCTTTAGTTCTTCGTATAATTTCTTGAAACCAAGTTTCATCATCACGTAAACTATGAAGAGTATCTCGTAAATGGATTAATAAAAAATCAATATTATAATTACGCTTTTTAATAATTTGTTCGTCTTGATTATTATTTTGTTGATTGAATTGATTGAAATTTTGTCTAAAATTATTATCAAGTCCTATTTCGATAACTTGAGTTGTTTTACGATGAATTTCTGCAAATTTTGCTAAAGAATTATAAACTTTATCTCGAAGTTCTTTACTAAGTACTATTGGTGAAAAACATATCCGTTCTAAGACGGTAA